CATACATTCATTTTACATATTTATTTATCAAAATAAAAAATATAAATTTACATTTGAATAAATATTTAAAATATTTAAAAGACAAATTTATCACATAATATTTAATAAACTTTTAATATATAATTTTATCAAGCAACACTCAGGTCAATGCATATTTAAAATATAATTTTTATTTATTATCCATCAAACATTCAAAGCATGTCATAATTACCTATTCACTCGAACTACCTTCTTTAAATATATATTAAAAATATAAATATATTCTCAAGTGCAGCGGATGAGCTTAACAAAGACAGAAGTGAGACTGCAAGAACACTACTTTTTGGTCCAACTCAAAAGCTTCAAAGGATCCTTGGAGGAATATAATACCGTCACTGCCTTGAAATTGATTTAAGAGAGGCTCTCGATAAAGATGCAACAGATACATAACCGTGTTATCAAATGGCATGACAAAGATAGTATCTAACATTCTTAAAAATCAACCTTATTCAGGTTACCAAGAACTTTACAGCGATGAATATTGCAATGAGGTGCAGATCTCCGAACCAAAATCCATGACACCGGCTTCCTGTATTCATACACCAATAACTGCTTTCAATGTCCCATGTCTCCGTGAATGCAAGCGTGAACCTAATTGCAAAGTAGAGATATCAGGTCATTCTAAACCTAATTGCAAAGGAACAGTGAATTGCCAAGATTAAATGCTCAAAAAAATTAAAGGCGTCACCTATGATTCACTCATTTTGACAGTTTCGTTCTTTTCCTGAAGGAAAGATCTAATGATTGCAGAGCAAAGACCAGACTAAGAAGAGATAGACTAAGAAGAGATAGTTCAAGTTAACCCACTAACAAGCACAGGCTTAAACATTACAGGTAATCTTGTAGAACTAGTACCCATCCATGTCTTGGAACATACAGATGTGGTCAATATATACATCTTAACAGCTTATGTTTTGCATAAATTGATCCTTCCCCATATCACCTTTTACACTGGGCTACCTTTTAGATTATCTTGCATTAGCTGCCTAATCACCTGGGTAATCAAGACCTAAGGGTAAACCAACGGCAGCATAAATCTTGATGATATTCACTTTCGATGACAGAGCTGATAAAACTAAAGGTTTAAATCTTGATGATATTCACTTTCGATGACAGAGCTGATAAAACTAAATGTTTAGTGTTTAATCTTTTTCTCTATTCAGAGCCACTTGTATACTAATCCAAGAATTAGCAGGATACGTGTAGATCCATACCTCTTGTATGGCTAATGCTGCGTCGGTGTCCTTAGCCATCTTCCATTTCACTAAAGGAACTCCAACTCGTCAAAGATATCCTCGTCGTACGGAAAGTTCAGATCAGGGACGTCCTCATTCCCACTGCCCTGATCACTGCTATAGCTATTTTCAGATGAATTTGTCAAATATGAATCAAATGCTAGATTATACAACATTAAGGAGCTTGTCCCACTGCTTATTTCACTGTCGGCGATGAGATCAATATCAATCAAGCTGCAATATTACAAGGAAATAGCATAGAACAAAGACTTCAGTAAGTAATTCATTATAAATGGTATGTGCAAATATATAAAGTATGCCATGAAATAATAGAGAGGGAAAGAGAGAGACCTCCCTTCCGGGGGAAACTTCACTAGCAAACATAATTCAGGTCTTTGTTTCAAAACTTGTGATATTAGCTGTGTACTGCAACATGAAGCGAAAGGACTTTAGCTTCACTAAAGGTTAGGATTTCTAAAAAAGTAATATCAGCATAACTCTGTTACCATGGATTATAGCATCGATAGTTCCAGTCATTCTCAGCAGAAAGGCCATCTTTATTTGAAATATCCTGCTCAGATCAAGCACAAAGTAGTTGTCAACTTACCAAATGAAGACTTTCAAGCTGACAGGAATCTTGTTCTAGTCTAGGCAAAAACCAAATGATATGCCACATTGATCTACCAAATATCTGAGGAGTTTGAAGTCACCAGCAAGCATAGCTGAGAATAGATGTGACACTTCAACCTACATAAATCATAAATATAAAGCACCACACTTTCATCAGATTGGAATAAACTGAAAAGAACCGAAACTTAGTTATTGAGAGTGAGTAATATGGCATTCCGAACTACTCACTTCTTTAAGATGCAAACAATCACGTAAGATCAAAACCTCCAGTGGATGAGCATTTGTGCCACCGCTAAGGTTCCTGAATGACCAAAGTTGTGAAAAACAGCTGAGACAAAGGCAAGATAAAGCATATGCACAAAACAAAAGAACAAAAGCCCAAAATGTAATATTTAAAAAAAAAAAAACCTCAAGAAGGTCCCTGTAATTGAATAAGATGTTGAAAAATCAACAAACTTGAGGTGGCGAGATCCCTGTAGAAGCAAAAAATACTTCAAAAAAGAATCCTGAATTTTATGCTTCCATTATGTAGAGGACAACAATTTGCAAGATCTTACATTCAAGATAAAGATATTTATTGTAGCAAGCCAGAGCACATCATAAAATAATTATATCCATGTCTGTGATAATTTAACATGAAAAACTCTACATAAATAATTTTTGAGTAGGTCCAGACTACGAATTTGTTCAAGTTTCTGAAAAACTTGACAGAGATACAAGAAGAATGTAAAGTACAAAAAGAATCTTAAAGCCCATGCATAAAAAAGATTAATGCCTTCACTAAAAGAAAAAAAAGGAGAACTACCTTCACCAGTATACGGACTTTGTGATCATGTAGCTTAAACCCCCTTAGAGCAAGTGAGACTATATTGGGACAGCCATTTACCAGATCAATGCAAGTTGCCGAGTTCAAACTATCATCTCTCCCTAAAAGACATAGTCAAACATGTTGGAGGAGAATAAGAGAGAAGGATAAAGTGCAGCAAAGAAAAGTATAGCACACCAGTATCAGAGGACTCAAACAGCAAACGCTCTATACAGTGACAATTTGAGCTGACAGCATCCAATGTTCGCTTGAGTTCAACATGTCTGTTGATATAGGTATGTTAAGAATATCTTTCCAACTGTGATTCCAGATAACATATAATGAATGCTGGAATCTCGCTAAAACTGATCATATGAGCCCAAAGTCGACATGTTCCACAAGCTTACCTTATGGAGGAAGAGATATAGACAATTTCTAGAATAAATGATTGCCTACAAGCCTAGAACATTGGATGTATCATGCATGCAGTATACATGTGTACATCGTTGTTCATCAAGAAAGCATATTCATGTCCTCATGTCTATCTCTATTTACATATTCTCCATGCAAAGCTTTGCATGATTTCCATTTCACAGGTGTTTATTGTCTAATGCAAATAACCTAAAGCAGTCGGCATCCTCAATATCTCCTTTAATTATCTTAAGTTTTGCAAAGGAGTTGGATTTGGCATGGTTTCCAGCACAAAATATGCAAAGCAATAAACTCAAGATATAATTTAGTAAATTAAATTTACCATAATATGATCGATGACCTAATGAAATTGCAGATCACAAACAATGACAAAAAAATCTATGCCCAATATTATATAAATCTAATATGAACCTAAGGTAACTCTCACATTGAAATTATAAGAAAATTAATACAAACATAAGCACTTGCAATATAGCACGATGAGTGGTTTGTGCATTCAACCCTATCGGAGGTATCGTTGTATGCACGGCGTCATGATTGTCATGTAACATTCAAAAGATGTTGGAAAAAAAAGGAACATTCGAAAGATGCAACCTTCATGCTTGAGTCAATCTGGCTGAGCGCGAGTTTCTTTTTATAATCCAAGCTACTGGAGGATAAAAGCCTTGAGTCTGACAGACCATCTGATTATTCATGTTGAACTTCTGTCCTTAGCAAAGTCTAATTTTTTTTCTTTTGGTGCAATCCAGTGATTTTAAAAGCACTAGGCGCCAAAAGGCGTCAAGGTCCAAAAACGCCCGAGGCGCTAGGCGCTCGCCCGAACGAAGCGAGGCGCTAAAATATAAAAATATAAAATATAATTAATAAATATAATTATTTAAAATTTTAAATAAAAATATGCTATTAAATTAAGAAAATCTATTAACAATATTGAAAATTAATCATTTCAAATAAACTTAATATTAACAGTATACTGTATACTGAGCCTGCTGACTGAGAAACGAGGAAGCAGCGTCGTGCGGCGAGTAACGGCAGCAGCAGCAGCGACAACGGGAAAGGGAGCGGGAGCGACGAGCAGCGGGAGGCGCGAGCGGCGACAGAGGCAGCGTTTGCGAGCAGCGGCAACGGCAACGGGAGCAGGAGCGGCGAGCAGCGGGAGGCGCGAGCGGCGACAGAGGCAGCGTTTGCGAGCAGCGACAGCGGCAACAGGAGCGACGAGCAGTGGGAGGCATGAGCGGCGACAGAGGCAGCGTTTGCGAGCAGCGACAGCGGCGACAACGGCAGCGTTTGCGAGCAGTGACAGCGGCGAGCGGCGAGATCGGGATCGGGATCGGGATCGGGAGTGGTAGCGGCAATGGGTTAGGGTTGGGTAAGGGTTATATCGGTTTGGTTGGTTCGATTGAACCAACTAACCAACCGAACCAAGACTGAACCAGACCTAAAATCCTGGTTCGGTCGCCTTGGTTTACCCAGGCGCATGCCCGAAGCGCCCAGCGCCTGGGCTCGGGTGAGCCGCCAGGCGACGCCTGTTTGAAGTGCGCCGCCTGGGAGATTAGCGAGGCGCTCGGGCCTCGCCTTGCCTCGCCCGAGCGCCTTTTTCAATCACTGGTGCAATCTAATGCATCCCCTTGAAATCAATACTTTTTCTTGAAATTTTAGACCAATTGTGTCAAGTGACACACAAATCCAAGCATATGAAGCAAATGCATACTCATCTCCAAGGAGCCACTGCCTTTTTGTTAAATGTTGTTGGTTAGGCATATCAAACTCAGGAAGCAGGGAATCAAAAGTTTTTTATATTAGTATTATCATAATAATCTAGAGCATGTTAAGGTTGCTTCCAACACAAATCCAAGGAGAGGAGGTGAAATCTTAACAGAAACTAGGTCCAGACCCCTCCAAGTAGAACGGTTTACCTCTAAACAAACATCGTGGTGGTTAGTAATGCTGTCATACTGGAATGGAAGGAGCAAACATAAAAAAAGAACAGATAAAGTTTGGTTCTCAGTTCTTTGACTTGGTCAACTTGCCACAATCAAAGAAGTCTAAGATACAATGTTTTTCAGATTTGAAACTTAACAAATTCTGAAACTGGATATCAGACATGATGAGAATGTAGATTTGGAACTTAACAAATGTTGAAACTGGATCTCAGACATGAAGTATGTAGATTTCAGCTGCTACCTTTAGGAAATACTTCTGAGAAAATGTTCAAATCTGTGTATGATGTAGGGTTCCAAAACAATAGGTTTAAATTGGTGCTATACACCAAATATATCATAGTGCTTACACTACAACAGATATCGGACAGTACTACACACAGACCAGCTTTAGTGCATACCTTAGTTGATATAAAAGCTGACTAATTATGTGAATTGACCAAGCATCCATAAGTTTTGAAATTTCTAGAAAGTCTGGAAAAGCCTGCACTATAAATGATGCTGAATAGTTAAAATTAGATGACTGATCTTATGTATTAGAAGAAAATATTAAGCAATGAAAGGAATGAGGGTATTCATTCTTTTCTTTAGCATTATAAGTGCCTTATTCTTTGATATCCTGGGTATTGTCATTAAACAAGTCTTTAATTACATAATTTAAACAGTGATTTCCTTTTGACAGAGCAAACATTATATATATATACATATATATATATATATATATATATATATATATATATATATATATATATATCCAACAGTAAACGCAACAAAATTAAGCTGAATTTTTCTTTTCAACCATCCCCTACCCAAGAGTGAACAGAATCACAATTTAAAATAGGGCAGCAAGAATCAAAATGACAAATTAATTCATGACTGTCACAGTTTGACTTAAATGGCTATTACTTACAGGCCAACAACTTCAAGATCAAGCAGATATGGGCAGGCAGATAACGCTGTGCAAAGTGCAGAATTGTCCATCTTGTCAATGTTATACAGGTGCAGGCTCCTCAGGAGAGTCCTTCAAACATAAAAGTTCAGAAATTATGACAAATGAACAGATAAAAAGAAGCTAAACAACTAAGCTCAAATCCTTACCCTGCAGCACCACCATCCACACTTAAAGCCAGAAGACAAGACCTTGTAAGAAGAGATGTCTCCCTTCCTTGCCTTGGTCTCTTTTGACTCCATGAAAGACCAGATGTATCCATAGGATTTCTAGTGGAATAGGACAATGGTCTACAAAGTTCTGTTGCTGAAGCTGGACTAGGCCGAATCCCAAGCTTGAGTGATCTGATTTAGAAAAATTAGTACGAATGCCAATTTTAGAACAGAAATATAGATGTAGAATATGAATATATTGTCGACACATATCCTATTGCAGACGTGGGAAAGAATCAATACAAGGAATAGAGAAATAAAGTTTGATAAATGCTTCAAAATTAATTTACATGTTTGATATATAACTAACAGAAGCAGCAACGTGCCAAGGTCTAAAAGACTTAATGTTGGACACACAGCACCCATTTCTCCAAAATCAGAGACTAAAATCCTGGTATAAGCAGCTAATCTTCACCAGAAAAAAGTTGCAAAAAATTTTGTGTCTAGGCACAAGAAAGATAAAGAAGAGTCATAGAAATGAAAGCAACATGGGAAGTTGCAATGACAGCTGCAAACCATATTCATCTGAGAATTTTGTGAGAGAAGTAGCAGATATAGATAATTCTAAAAGATGCCCTGAATATCCAATTAGATAATGTCAATTAAATCTTAAATAAAAACCCAAATATACATCAGATAAGCAAGTCCTTACACCAACCAGTTAACATGCAAAAGAAAAAAAATCACAACTTAACATTCGTAATGGATATATTTGGTTTTCAACAAAAACAATAACAAATGATTATTTAATACAAAGGTGATCTAATGCAGCAAACGGTGATCCAAATATACATCAAATAAGTGAGGCCTCACACAAACTAGTTAACATGCAAAAAAATTGCAACTTAGCATTCACAATAAATATATCTGGTTTTAAAAAAACAATAACAAAAACAAGGATTTGATACAAAGGTGATCTAATGCTGCAAACAACACTGAAAATTCCCAAAAAAAATGGTTAAACAAAACTAAGAAATTAAATAGCATTTACGTGATACAGAAGATTCAAATCAGGATGAATTAAATAGCTTGTGGCTTGTTTTCTTCCTTATAGTTCTCGATATTTATTCAGAGAAATTCAATGTTTGCATACAGCACTTGGTTCCACTATGAATGTGAATCTATCTACAAGTCTAAAAGTAGAGACTGAAATGCAACCCAAAGTAACAAAACCTTCAATATGGACTTCCTTGTTAACAATGCACATGAAACTACTATAAAAAGAAAAGCTAAGTCAACAAAAGACTATTTCTTGCTAGTACTATGTCATTCATAGCTTGTGCACAATCAATATATTTTAAGCTGTGTAGCAGATATTTTGATCAAGATTATATCCAAGCTTTAAAATATTGCCTGTATCAACCAACCGTATTTATCAGGTCGGCCACCAACTAGAATGAAGACTAGATGATTCTGCCTGGTTCAAACTGATACCACCTGGTAAATTAATGGTAGCCAAACTTACCGGGGCACTAAATAGGGTACCAAATTGTTCCAGAGTCCAGATGATAAGTTCAATATCCAATTCCTACACCATTTTTTAAAAAATATCACTACCTTTTCTTTTTCTTTCTTTTTGTTTTTTCTCTTTCTCTCATGCACTCTCTCTTCCCCCCTCCTCTGCCTTCTACTACTACTCGTCTATGCCATGTTGCTGCCACTTCCTTGTCTGAGTCGCCACCTAATCCTCCTACTAGTATGCCTCTTCCTTCTTCACCACATCTTCTCCTCCTCCCTTGCCAGTTCAATTTTTTGCTTCCTTCACCTTCATTGCTTTTTCCTCCTCCTCTGTCAGTTCTCCTATTTCTCCCCTCTTCTCTGCCATACCAACCCATACCAACACTTGGTACGTCAACACATACTGGTACCTTACTGGGCAAATAATATTGGCACCAACACAAAATTCTAATCCATAATTATAACCGAGTAAAAACATACTGAAACTTTTTTCACCACCAATGGTAACAATTTTCAAGCAATATGGCATCAATTTGAAGAGTATCAGGAAGCTATAATATTAAACCATCAGTAGTAGCATGCAAAGTAGAATGACCAGAATGATAAGTATCAGGTTCACATGCAGAGCACCATCTAAGTGACACAAATAGTTTGACAAATGCACTCTAGAATATATTATGACCACTAAATCAACAGCAAACAATTCATAGCTAAAACCCCGCAGACATCAAACATCGGTATCTGACAGAAGAAAATTAGGTCATGTACCAACTCAAAAGATACCTGGTTCTGAAACAGAACATTTCAATTGTTAAGCAGTTTAGTTATTTTGTTTAGTGAAACGTAAGAACAGCAGCCAATGAGCCAATCTAAGAATCAGATCAAAGACACGACAGCATATCTTAATTTAGGCCCACAAGAATACTACTAATGACCATTGTTTGAAAAGAAATAAAATTATTATTATTTTAATTGAATGGCATTTAATACAAGGAAGAAAGATCTTACTGAAGATTTTTTCCTGCTCGTTGTATCATTGTAGAGACAACTGTGTTATTAACCTTTGGCACTTCAGCTGTTAAGTCAATATTTGCATAGCACATTGGATCTGTTGCACACTTGTTGAACATTGAACAAGTAGCTGCAGCATGGCAAAGACTCTGCGTATCTAGCTTGGAGAATACCTTCAGAACACCATAATGAATGAAGTATGCTGTCAATCAGATGCTATCAAAACACCAAAGCAACAAGAGGGAAGGAAGATGATTTTGGTGGATTAAGATAATCTAGTGAAAGGTACAACCCATATTGCATGTTGACACTAAATGAATAGAATAATTAGACCAGATAGCTGACAAATAGAAAGGAACAAATATAAGAAAAATTAATCTAGGCAAACATGAAAATATCAAGAACATGAAGTAGAAAAGCAGACGCCTCTCAAATACAAAAGACAACATATAAGTACACAGCAGCTGTATGCAATTCTAAAGAGAGCCAGTCTGGTCAGGTATTTCCATCAATGGTGAACAATGACAGTAGACAGACTTTTCACAAGCAAATATGCTTATGATGATGGAAAACCTCTCCTCTTCTTTTTCCCTCTTTCTACATCTCATTTTTTCCCATAGATGTGCTATTGAAGATTGCAAACATCAAATCAGACAGGCAACAATACCAGATAAAAATAACTAAATGGATGAAAGCTATTCTTATCAGTGGCCCATGAATCCAGGACAACAGCAAGAGGCAACAAAGTGGAGCTACTGAGATTATAGGGAACAAGATGAGAAATTAGGATCAGGGTTGACAAATATTCTGATCTAAAGTATTGAGAGAAGCATAGTTTAGGTTTCCAGAGCCTCCCAAAGACCCTGCTTATAATGTTTTCTGCACTAACACATGTTGCATTACATTTTCTGTCCTAAGGATCCCCAACAAAGAGAATATCTATATAACTTTGTTCCTTGGGCATCATCGGCTAAATCCATGGAGAGAACCTATGAACAAGCTCAAGTGGGTTGCTTGAATCTTACCCTCCCTAAATTTTGGTTGTAAAAATCTTCCACGGGTTATCCTTTATATAAGCTCATAGCACATAAAAAATTAAAAGTGCCGGGCATGCCAGAATTGGAACATACTATTTGTCTAGTCCACTAACTTTCCTGCCTACAAACACATATGAAGCCCCTAGTAAGACTAAAAGTTTGTCTATTTCCAGAGTAGAGATTGGAGTGATTGGCCAGAATTGCCTATTTTCTAAGTTAAGGATACAAACCATGTGGTCAAACTAAAGAGGTTACTTGAATACCTAGAGGTTACTAAAGAGGATACATACACTCCTCATCACATTAATACTATTTCTAATGATCGTTTGTTCACCAACTTAATGGCTTCCAAAAGCACATCAGCCAGATCAAGAAATTCTCTCTCCAAGTGGAGCTCAATATACATGAACTAGAAGACGATACACCAAATCCTTGAACAATGATCTCTACCTAAAGAAAAATTAAGGTGAGACCAGAAAAGAGTGACTTCGCCAATTCGAAAACTCGTCCTCTTTGAACATCGTCCTTACACTTTGCTAAATGATTTCCACTTTCTTCAATCAGTCTACTATCTCCATCAATCCATCCAACCACGGACGCAAGCTTACCATCACATCAACGCAAGTAACGAAGAACAGAATGGATCCTTCCGAAGCATAACAACGACTACAGATCAATGGAGAGGGGGAAGCGATTACTTTGATGGTGAGATCGGAAGCGAGGGGCCAGGAAGAGAAGTTGTGCTTGGACGCGCGCCGCCGGGCGGATCTCCTGGCGGCCTCCAGGAGGGCCGATCCAGCCTCCATGGCGCCCTCGATCAACCGATCCTTATCCGACTCCAGAAGCCTCGAGTCGAGAAGGCTCTCGAGGGAGAGCTCGAGGGCGACGGAGGGGTCCGGGAGGGCGAGAAGCGCCTCCAGGACTCGATCCATCGCCATGGGGCCGGACGGGACCCTAGAGGGGCTCGAGGAGGCGTCGAAGGTGGAGGAAGGATCGGCGGAGGGGCAGGGACGCTTGGGGACGACGGGATCCATCACGGATGGGCGGCGGAGGCGGGGAAGGACGACATCGGAGCCGGGAATCGGGGAAATGCGGTGGGAAGGGGCCCTTTTCCTTTTGTTTCGTGTACAGATTGGCCACAGCCCAGCGAGTGAAGCACGTCGCGTCGCACGGATCGAAACGGATCCTCCTCGCAGCGAATGACACGTGTGCGATGGTGAGGTGGGCAATCGGTGGCTCCCACAACAAGATTTGCCCTGGTGCCTATTGGTGTTGATAGATCACCTGTCCCGACGGAACACGAGAGACACTTTACTCTCCCAGGAATACCCATAATGACGCAACGAATGACGTCATCTCTCATCTCACAGGCAAAAAGTGTGCTCCCTGCCTCAGCCAAGAAAGGTGAGCACCGGCTGTGGCCGATGCGATGGGGAATCCGTCCTGTAAAGTGTTTAGTGGGTCTACGCGGATGATCCGAATCCGAACCTAACTATCAAGAAACCGAATTTTCCTAACCCGAATCCGATTCAGGGACCAATTTATTCGATGGTATCAATCGGGTTCACGGGCGAACCGGGTTATGTTGTACCCGGCCCCATTTCTTCTAGAACAATCTTTTTGCCCATTATTTCTTATACTATTAGATCACACAACTAATTACGATAATTTAATATTTTTAGTTATATTTCGATTAAAGCTTTTTTTATATAGTTCTTTAAATGCGGAGCTCCAAAAAAGTATCCAACTTCATTGCGAGCATCTGTCATGAAAGAGGGAAACCTTAGGGTGGATCTCACAGCCGTCTCCTTGCTTGTTCCAATCTCCGACGCTTTCTTGGGGTTCCTTCTTGCTGCTGCTCTCCCTAATTTGCACGCTTGCGGGCGGATCGACTCTCCAATCCGATAAGGGGAAATCTCGACTTGGGAGTCCGTCTCCGTTCTCGTGTTTGGGGGGGGGGGATCGAGGAGCTTGGCGGTGAGATTGACGAGCTCCTGGCTTTATCCGCGTTGGGCCAAAATGGCTTCCGGGGAGGCGGCCGCCGCTCATCGATCGCCCGAAGAGCTCGAGACGTTGATCTCAGGTGAGTGGCGGGATCTTTCCAATGCAAGGATCTTCTATGTGACGAGATCTGATGTCAGATCTATGGTTATTTCCCTTCCTATTGTTCTCTTCTTTACGTTTGATTGTTTGGCGTTTATTTATTTCCAATATTATTGTTTATCTTTTAGAAACAAACTTTTATTTGTTATATCCGGAACGATATTTAGGGTTTGAAAGGTGGAGATGTATTGTTTTCCATGAAGCACATAATAAGGCTCTCAATTTCAGATATCAAAAGAACATTCTCCGACTTGTGTGGTTTGTTTTATTATTTGGATCGGGAAAAACTCTTGACGCCAATGAAATGGTCCCAAAGTGAAACGCTGATGTTTTTAGCATAGCTCAGTCATGCAAGTTTCCATTGGACTACAGGGTTTGAAAAATGACTATTGGATACGGTGAAATGAGAAATCACATAGATGTACAGAAAGGCGTACGGGCTCGAACTAGATCTTGTAGTAATATATAGTATTTGTCTTATTTTTTGGGGAACAGAATATAAAAATATTAATTATCAAACCAAAATTCGAGACCAAATTTGTGTATAATACGCCACCTACAAGCCTCCTTGTTTGGAGGATAGGGAAAATGCCCTTGTTCAATCAAAAAATGTTTTGAAGAAGCCTTTGTTGCTGCAACTTTGTGATATATCTTCTTCCCAGTTTGGTTGATAAGCTTAGTGATCATACCAAAGTAAATTGCCAATGTTATTATTTTTGTGAAGAGGAACTAATCGTTTCTCAATATAACCGTTCTGACAAGAGAAATATTGATTTATGAAGTTATATACCCTTGGAGCCAATATTATATTTTCCATGATGGAAGTATCAAATTAACAATGTCTTGAGCCTTTGCTTATTTAACTTCTGCTGGGCCCTAGATGGGAGTTGATCACGAATCTTGAAGCAATTTAACCTAAAGCAATTTACGGATTTGAGGGTAAGTATCAGAATCAATTGATGGATTAGACTCATTCCATATGGGTCATGACAAATGGTATTAGATTATTTTTACTCTTGATGCATGGCTCAAACTGGTACTAACATATATCCTAATCAAACTATGGATTCAATGAGGGGATAAGGCACCGAGGATGGTATGAGATGATTAAGGCTTTGTCCTTTAACCTGATAGATCTCCATATTTTTGCTACATCATGCATGGAACTTACAAATTCATTGTTTTTCTTCTTTTAACCACTGCATTATTCCATGCTCCAGCTTGCAATCATCCCGGCATAAAAAGGTGCTTGAGTTTATGCATTTTGCATGAATGCCTGTTTAATATAGTCTTTATTTCCAAAAAAAGGTGTATCCAATCAATTTTTGGTATATGTTCTCCTAGTTATCTGTTGTTTCATTTTTTTTAATTAATCATTAGGTTATTCTTGGTAGATGATATATTGACCCAATTTGAGTAAAATTGATGTTTATGCATCCTATTTTAAAGAAAAATTGTGATGTGGAAGTTTTTATGTAATTGGATATCGAGTATTAGAAGACTAAATGCCTCTCATTAGATAGGTTGTCATGGCTTATGAGATGATAAATTTTCTAAAACACAAGTCTTACGCCACAACTTTTAAGTATTTGAAATCTTACATTAAATCAGTTGGGGCTAGATATATGTCAAACCATATTGGTAATAGATATATGCCATAAATATTTATGTATATATGTCATGGATAATGGGGGCTTACCGTTACATTTTCTTCTTTTTCGTTTTTTCACGATTATAATTCAAAATTTCTTGTTGCTTCAGAAAAATTATGTATGGCTTATTGATGAGATGCAATAATGTAGATATCTTTAACCATTATGTGTGACTAAGAAATAATTGTACAGTGTCTTCAGATAAAAAAATCAAGTGAAATTTATATGGCTCTTAGATATTTCCTGCTTATTGTCTGAGTTCTAGAATTTTCTTCTGCAGAACTTCAGAAGAAACATCAGATGGATTTACTCAATTTGACATTGACAACTCAGCCATTCAAGACTTTGCAGTTTTTCATTTTTGCTACATTGCAATATCTAAGACGATCACTTGTATATATTTTGGCAAAAGGTGGCTGGATTTTAGTCTTGTCCTTGCCAGTATTTGCTGTTGGGCTTCTCCTTTTCAGTGTTGATGGACCTCACGAGAAGGTGATTACCTCATCACTTTTTATATTTTCATACAGTCTATATATTAATGTCACTCTTTATTCAAATAATTTGCTATTGGATGCTTTTTTGTTGTAATTTAGCATGATAAGATTGTCTAGCATGAATCTATTAAAAGATATGATAAATTTGTTTTGTAGCACTTGCTTAATTCTAACTAATACTTTTCAATTGTACCTTCTAAAATTTTTTTGTTAACTTTGTTTACTGTCATGCTTTCAGCATATTCAGGAGTTCATCCACTATACAAAATTTAGCTTGTGGTGGGTGGCACTTGGAGTAGCATCATCAATCGGGCTGGGTAGGTGTACTTTGCAATTGGGAGTCTGTTACTACTTGCTGATTTTTGGAAAATTCTATTCTCAGATGAACTAGCTGACACGAAAAACCCCATACTGTCCTTGTTACTTTTACTCTTGTCTTCAAATATTTTGTTCATTTTGTGTTGCATTACTTTCAGAAATCTTTTGGTAGCAACATAGCCTAATCCTGCTGTCTTTGTGGCTACTACTACTATTATTAATAGATTTTATTATTTGATTGTCTTTAACTTTGAAGGTAGTTTATTTTCAGGAATTAAACATCAGAAGTGACTCATAAAATACCTAACCCTTAGCAGTAACAACTGTTATTACATCCAACCATGAAGTCTGAACACATTGTTTTTTTTATGCTTGTCTCTTTTCAGAGGTCTAGCATGATTGAGACATTTGTATCAGCATATCCACACCAATATGTCTATTGTGGTCTAGTTCATAAATATTCACTAGGTCTGTTTATACTAGGTCATGCAAATTTGTTTATTTGCATTGGACTATATCTAATGAAATGTGTTGCTAGGTTCCTTTTTAAAAATATTTTAGATGACAAAACATTTATGCTCTAAAAGTTTTCTTTCAAATAGAAAAGATGAACACTTTACCTATTTCATAGCAGTAGATGAGGAATTCTGATGTAATTATTAATTCAAAATGATATGGGATCACATATTTTGTTCTGTTGGGATTATGGTAACTAACCATAGGCAATATTGTATGTTGTGATTATGGTAACTATAGACAATATATGAAAGTCTGTGTTTCTTATAATGTTTACATTTGATCTTCTTGATTTATGCATTCATAAATTTGGTTATTCTTAATAAATAATATTTATGTAGGTAGTTAGCTTTTTTTTTCAGTATGCATGCAAGCAAACTTGACACTCTGCCGGTGCATCTGTTTATGCATTAGGCATGTATACATTTGCTTTCATTTGGAGTATCTGGTATGGCATATTGAACTAACCTACACTTCTTGCAACGAATGGTATATATTACAAATGGTGGTTTCATCATATTTATCTAAGTGCAGAACATTTACAATCTTGTTCACTAAAATCCAAATTCAATACTGCCATCATTTTTAAAGTTGTTTCGAAAAATATAACAAGCCTATGTTGCTTTTCTACAGGGTCTGGCTTGCACACGTTTGTTCTCTATTTGGGTCCTCATATTGCTTTTTTCACAATAAAAGCCATGAAATGTGGTCGAGTTGATTTGAAGGCTGCACCATATGATACCATACAGTTAAAAATGAGTCCTTCATGGCTTGAGAAGGACTGTTCAGAGTTTGGACCTCCAGTTTTTCCACCTTTACCTGGTTCTTTGGTTAGGGTTCCTCTTAGCAGTATACTCCCTCAGGTTCAGCTTGAAGCCATTCTTTGGGGATTGGGTACTGCCCTCGGGGAGCTTCCTCCTTATTTCATTGCAAGAGCAGGTAACTTGTTGCATATGCAGTTCCATTATGCAATTGGTTAACATAATTTAGTCAGGTCATCTTTCTGATGTTGCTTGCTGACACTCAAGATTGAGCCCAAATGTTCTGAACTGCTACTATTCACTTTCAGAGACAAAGTTGCATGAACCACACAGAGTTGTTCTTTCTTAATCTCATTGAAGGATTTCTATTTGTTTCCTCTTTTTGGCTTTTCTAAATTTGATAATATGTGTCTATTCTGCTTAGTTTATGTTTCTAACTTAACTCCACAAGAAATTAAGGATAAGTAGAGCTTCCTCTATGTTAGCTCACTTAGATAATTAGCCTTTAACGCATCAAATTCTAGCCAATTAAGATGTTCCATAGTGATTTATAGCTGCTTATTTGCCATCAGAATTCCAGTCTAAGATACTGTTACTACTGCATTCTTTGAAAAGTGGGTAATTTGCAACCATAGAATGGTTGTGGGGAAGAAAGGAATCGAATGGGCTACCTTCAGTTATTTCATGGGTGAATATGTTTGATAGACCATGATAATTTGATTTGTTCCATAATTTTTTCTATTGGAGACTTTGATATTCATACCAAGGTATCAAATACCAATATAGGTTGCTATTTAACAGTCCAATAGCCAATTGGGACACAAATCATATGGTTTCTCATGATTGTCTATTATGAACTATGTTGTTCAGTAAGCTCAACACATTGAGCTTGCTAGACAGGACAAGTTCAAAATAGGGTAGGAAGCCTGGTAAGCTAATCGTATCAATTTATGAGGCATTAAATATATTGGTACAGTTCAGTATTGAAAAGGAAGCTTACCATCTAAGATCTATAATTTTTTAATCTTTTAATTAGTGTTTTTAAAAGCAGTGGACGCCAAGGTCACAAAACGCTCGAGGCGCTAGGTACTTGCCTAGGCACCCACCCGATGCTCCATAATATTAAAATATAAAAAAAATATATTACAATTGATAAATATGATCATAAAAATGAAAATGCCACTTCAAAGTGAAATCATATGAAGCAATTGGTGGAGTAAAGAGGGAACTGAGAAGATGAGTAACCGGCAAGCAACTATGTACGAAAGTGGGGAATGGAGAGGGCGGCGAACGAAGCTGCAGATGAAGGCAACAACAGTAGAGGAAGCTATGGCCTAAGGCAGTGGCGATGAAGAAAGCTATGGACAAAGGCGACGTCGGCGAAGGAAGTTGCGAACAAAGGCAACAGCAAAGGAAGCGACAAACGAAGGCGGTGGCGGCGAAATGAAATTGCGGACAAAGGTGGTGGCGATGAACGAAGTTGCAGATGAAGGCAACAACAATGTACATAGGGTTTCTCTTTGAAGACAAACTGGGTCAAGGGTTGGGGGGGGGTTTGGGGGGAAGTTTTTTGTTAGGTAGATTAGTTGGTTTGATTGAACTAACTTGCCTGTTCAATTGAATCGAGCACGAATCTAGACCCATCTTCACTCAAGCGCTCACTTGAGGCACCTAATGCCTAGGCTCAGGCTAGCGCTTGGTGGTGCTTCAACGAAATGCCTCGTTCGGAGGTTTTGCCAAGTGCTTGGTCCTCGTCTCGCTCGAGTGCTTAGGCGAGCACCTATTGCCTTTTGAAAACATTGCTTCTAATAGTTGTATTGGGAGTTGTATTTTTGTATTCCCTTGCCTTTGTGTTCTCTCTTTCTCGCCTAGTCGTTTACCCTCTCTTCTCCATGAACTGTACCAGGCAATAAGTTTGTTGCGCATTATCTATAATATTTTTTTCTATTTTAACGATTACATTGACAGTAGTATTTTCTTTTCGATTGCATAACCCTCATGCTCTCTCTTCTCTCTTTCTCACACGCACACACTCTCTCTCTCTCTCTCTCTCTCTCTCTCTCTCTCTCTCTCTTATGATGCTTCTCTCTGCTATCGTAGCTTCTTCTGCCTCCTCTTCATTACTATGTCGTTGTCACCATCTCCACTACGTCCTCTTCCTTGTTATGTCGTTGCCGTAAGATACTTAAGATGAAATCTCAAAAGTAAAGGTACCTTAGCGAGATATCTAGTCGGTTTTAATTTTTAAATACCAATATGATATCAGTATAAAAGGGTATACCTAGTACACGAGACTTCCACCATTGTGAGATCTGGGGAAGGCCAATGATATCTGTATGCCAATTTATTTCATGGAATAAAATCATAATAATAATGAACTGTATATGTATGAGTCTCAAGCTATATAGTTTGATGTAGATAAGTCTTGATCCGACTGGTAAAATATCGATCGTTATGTATTGATCCGACTGGTAAAGTTTCGGTTGTTATTCTCACCAAATGTTGTATTTTGGATCATCATTTTGTTCTATACTTTTATTTGATACTTGCAAGGAGATTTCACTCACTTTTTTACTGATTTGTTTTTTTCTGCATGGTTGTGGTTGTGTTATATCCAATCTTTGGTCGGTGCTTTCATGTTAAACCCATTCTAACACAAAAAAGTTTTGCAGCACGCTTGTCAGGAAATAAAGCGGGCGCTGTGGAAGAACTAGATGCTGCTTCATCAAAACAAGATGGATTTTTATCTTTTTATTTAAAGAAAATCAAGCGCTGGCTTCTTTCTCACTCACAACATCTTAACTTCTTTACAATATTAGTACTTGCTTCGGTTAGTGTTAATTTCTCCCTGGTAGCACTTGTTCTTTTGATGAATGTTCACCTAACTGACAGTCATGAATTTAGTTTCTTTTAAGCCTCTGGCCTTCCTGTGAATTCCACTAGGAATAACTGCTTTTTTCATCTCATTGCTGCTTAACTCATATTCCATTTAAAAATTTGTTCTCTATATGTGAACGTTGTTACCTTAGGTGCCAAACCCGCTGTTTGATCTTGCTGGTATCCTGTGTGGACAATTTGGAATTCCTTTTTGGAAGTTCTTCCTAGCAACCTTGACTGGAAAGGCGATAATAAAGGCACACATACAGGTGATAAGTTGGCTCTTGATTATTTTTGAACCTATATTATTCCTTTATAATATTTTTTTATACTTAATGTATTTTAGGTGGCTTTATAATTCTAGGACCATATGAATTCCCATGTTTTTTTTTAATACTTTTGTATGAGTTGAATATCAAGATGTATTCTACTACCTTAATCACCTAATTATGAATACAGCAGAATCCTAAAAGTTGAGATTGCAGTGATCCTATATGATAGCACAGCTGTCCATTTTGTTGTTGCAGACAGTTTCAATCATCTCTTTGTGCAATAACCAACTCCTGGAATGGATGGAAAAAGAGCTAATATGGGTGTTTGGCTTCATCCCTGGCTTCTCTTCTGTCCTGCCCAACCTAGTTACGAAACTGCACATGGCTCAAGAGAAGTATTTATCAGCATCGGTTCCTGGATCAACTCTCTCAGATGGAATGGTAGGCTAATTTAATATTCGGAGCCATCGAATTTCAACTTCACCTGTTGTGCATTTATTTCACATTGTCACATCCATTTCTCCACGAAGTTAGGTGGTTTTTTTCTGAATAATTTTTGTTATGTAGGCGAAGCGTTGGAATCTGTCCTTCAGTTTGATATGGAATACCGTGATATGGCTTATGCTCATAAACTTCTTTGCAAAGATAGTAGCTGCTACCGCACAAAGATATCTCAAGAAACAGCAAGAGTTGGAACTGACAAGAGTCAAGCAAATGACAATCACTTGATACCGTCGACACATCGAAAAAAAAAAACATTAGATAGGTTCATTGATTTCCATTACTACCCACGGCCAAGGAAAACATAGTCCTTTAAACTCCTGTACAGTTAACAAGCATGGCTGTTAGTGGTCTGAGGGCAGCCGCCCCATTTGCTACTGCCATCGTTTGGGATAAGTTTCGACAATCTATTACTTTCTCTAAAGGCCTAGTTGTTTACACTGATGCTTTTTCTTCCAGTCCTAGTCCCCACTGCCACATATGGAAATGCGAGAGTGATTGCGGATACTTCATGAGATTATGATCAATATCAATGCCAGTGTGGTCTGCCCGTGGAGCAAAACGAAGAATTTGCATGGCTCATATAAAAATAAGTCCTCAAGTCATATACGAGTTTGTATTTTTTATATTTTAGGAGCTTACCAAGTCCCAATTTCTATCATTATCATTCCTGATATAAAGTAGAGAGTCGATTGATTTTAATTTTCTTCGATTACTTAGTGCTATTTGACTTTCTTAAACCACACTCCGGTTACTTTTTAGCTAGTTCAGTTTAAAGGTGTCCTATCAGTCAAGCGATACATTTTACTTGAGTTTCAAATGTATTTGAGTAAACAAATATTTGAATTAGATTGCAATTTGGGTTCATGAACTTGGATAGTTAATCATATTTGTCTTCATATTAGATAAAAGTCATATGTACTCTGTTAAATTCTGATGATAACGGTTGAAATTTGTATTAGATATTTTTTAATTGGTTATGGGATGAGTTTAGACAAAGGGAGTAGGTCGATTGACAATTTTAGGCAAAACTTGGGCGGGTAAAGGTTTTAACTTGTGATAGCAAAATCGTGGCAATTAACTTTAGAAGAAAAATAGTCGTATGAATTTGACTTTTGAATATTAAGTGGGCATGAGATAGTTGGCCTGCAAGTCAGTGACTTTTCATATTCATATATTATATTTTCATATTCATATTCATATTCATATTCTTAGGGCTAATTATATTTTCTGTAATTAGTTTTCTTATATCTTAAAGTGAAACATTCATATTCATATCTTTTAATGACGTTAGTTTTATTAATAATATATATATATAATAAAATGATAATTTTAAAGTTCGATGGTAGACGACGTTGGTGGTGGCGAATGGTAGCATCACTAGCATCGACATCAATGTAGTTGCTTGGCCACTTTACTCTTACTGCAACGCCACCTACCTTCGAACGTAGTTTCCGACATCAATGATAATATTTACTCTTACCGCAACGTCACCTACCTTCGACGTAGTTTCCGAGAGGGGGGATGATGCACTCCTCATGGAGGCGAGTGTTATTGTGATGATAAGGAATTTTATTGTCGTCGTAGGCGACGAGACAATTACGTTAGCGTTGATGACAACGATGTCGTTGTCCATCACCAAATGTTCAAATTATCTTTTTACTTTTTATTTTTATGTTTTCATTGATAAAATTAATATCGTTAGGATAGATAAACCTAGATGTTTCATATACCAATACTAAAAATAACTAACTACATATGCTAATATGTAATTAGGCAAGAGCTCTATCCAATCCTATACCACCCTAAGATGTTCAACATTTCGTCTCTCTCATCATACACGTCACAACACAAAAATGATCACAAAAAAAAAAAACCCAAATGCATTGTTTGTGTGATCCATACAATTATCATAAATTATTAAAATAACATGTAAAACATGCATCAACCTTTGATCCAATAAATGCATCCTTTTCGACCATGAACATATCAATAAATACTCATTGGACTTGATAGACACCACGTTGACTATTTAGTAGGATAGTTACATAGTTAACTATGATTAGCATCCTGATCGTTATGTTTTAAAAAATAGTATTATAATTTTTATACTTATAAAAATAAAATATTTATTTTTAATTCTCGTCACGTCATTAACTATATCGATAAAAAAAATCGTACATAGTGTCACATGCAAAAAGATACGAGTGAAAATGATAAAAAAAAAAATAATTTCACTATCTATTAATTTCATATAAACTTCTCACAAGCAGCGTGGAGGCTTTCACACGCTTTCCTCCCCGCAAGGAGAGAGCTAGTTCGGCACTGCCCCGTAGATACTGGAGGATGCAGTGGCAGCGACGGGAGCTGTTGCATCATGTCACTCCACTCGATGATCACAGCCGAGCCTGACGCACTGACCGCTTCCTCCTCGTCGTCATCGTCCAAGAGTAGGTATTGCTCCAGCTCCTACATCACAGAGGACAACCTATTATTAGACCCCACGCCAGCCATCGTCTGCGTGATGGAGAAGAACATCGACAAACACGAACGTCGACAAATAGGATGAAGTTTAAGGAGGAGGAACCCAAAGATAGGTCAACAGGAGGAGGAAGAGGAAGGTGGGAGAAAGTGGCGGAGGCAAGAAGCGTCTCTGCTTTACCAATCGAAGGAAGAGCGCGTTCTGTAACTGCATCAACTATTGCTGCAGAAACGCACTCTTCCTTCCTCCTTTGATCTGTAAAGCAAATGACGGTTCTTGCCTCCTCCTCTTGTTGACGTGTCTTCGGGCTCTTCCTCCTTAACTTCGTCCAATTTGTCAGCGTCTGGGTTCGCGAGGTGGCAAGCGATGTTCTTCTCCGCACGCAAACGACGACCGGCTTCGGGTCGAACAATAGGCCGTTCTTCGCGATGCAGGACCGGCTACAAGAGCTGGAGTGACAGCTACTCTTAGACGAGGACAACAAAGAGGATGCAGTCAGCACGTTAAGCTCGACCATGACCACCATCGGGTGGAGCAACATGAGCAACTGCAACACCAACAATAGCTGTAGTAGCACCAACAGTAGAAGATGCAGTTACAGAACGTGATCTTCCTTCTATCTATAAAGCAGAGGAAGCTTCTTAGCCTCCTACGCTTCCTACCACCTTATTCCTCCTCTTGATGTCTCTGTCTTCGGACTTCTCCTTCCTAACTTCGTCTAATTTGTCGATGCGATAGGAGATGTAGTAGCACCAATAGTTATTTCGTCGATAAAATTAATGACATAAGAAGAAATGAGATTAAATGTTTGACTTTCGATTATCACCTCAAAAGATGGACAAGAGAAAATATATAACACGAAATTCCAATCGATAAGGAAATCTTAGCTTTGAGAAAATACATAGCACCAAATTCCCATCAATACAGGATAAATATTGGAGAACACAATCTGGAAATATTGAACAAGAAATTATAAATAATACCAAGAATGGTGACCCTGCCATGTTCGGGCGATAAATAGACTGGTTACAAAGAAAATATATTTAACCATCCACACAAGGAGAGCAGCTAGCAAATACACACTTCGGTCTTCCTCAAGAATCTGCAAGAGGCTTTCTGACCAAAAAGAAATACATTGGTGTGAAGATCTCCTTCCTGCAATAATTCAGCAAATTGGAGGGGGTTACTCAATATGCATGTTTAATGTGCTGAAATTACATTGTTCGTGTTCACTAATTTCTCACTAATGGAATGCGGGAAAGAAGGCAGTAATATCTCCTCTATTGGTGTCTCTATACATCAAATATAGCAACTCAAGTTTTCTTACCTTCCTCCCTCCACGAGTCCCTCGGCTGCCTTTTCTAGGAATGATGATACCCTGTTGCTTCCGGCCGGAGCAATACCCACAAATTCCAATGTCTTGACCTGCAAATTTAAGTAGCAACCGTTCGCTGTAACAAAAGCAAACATCTTGAACTGTAACCAAATCTTGAAATGCAGAAGCATCATGTACCATAGTTCTCGTAACGAATCGCCCAAAAGCTGTCAAACGGAAGCTAGTTATCGAGAACTTGCTCGTATCCAGTGGCAAATACCAAGATACAGGAGAATCAACAGCAAGATCCTTCTCCCATACGACCTTAAAGGAGCAATTAATGAGAACATAAACATATGGTAGACAGGGCATGTACAGATTGATGAAAGAGCATGCACTTTCTTTTACCTCAAATCCTGCAAGCTTCAGGGCGTCAAGGCATTCTCTCGTGGTTCTTATATCTGGAAGTCCATTGCCAAGCTCAATTTCGGCCTTGGTCTTATTGTGACTTTCGTTGTTTGGATCGAAATGATCGGTCATGCACCACTCGTATGCCGCAAAACACTGACCAGGCTTCAACACCCTGTAGATCTCCTTATAGCAGCCAACCTGCTCAATTCACAAATCCAACATTGCTCACGATTCTATAAAGATAACACTGTACTAGGAAAGGCAAACATATAAAAGAACATACGGCATCTGGTGCATGACAAGTTGCTTCTATCGCATATATACCGTCAAATGTGTTGTCAGAAAATGGCATTTTCATGAAGTCGGCCTGCAATTGTGTGACAGCACTTCTCAGCATTCATGCTACCACTAACTTGAACACTTATTCATATGATTTTGAAAAGCAAACGCCCTTATCAATTTTATCATGTAATTTAGAAAAGAGCAATATTTATAGTAATCCTAGGAATAACATTTGATTGGAAATGAGTCTTGGAAATAAAAAAGATAAAAAGGCTACAAATCCAAATTTAATAACTGAACCGACCTTAACAAAGTCGCAGGACTCACTCACTCCTGCTATGCGGTTGAGTTCCTGTAGAATGATATTTGTAGGGAAAAGATCAGTTTAAGGAATGGTCATATATTTTGGCTGGTAATCATCTAAAAAGAGAGACACGAGGAGATAAAAGGAAGTCCCACTAAAATAAGTGAATTACTTAAATTGAGACTTGAGACATCCACTGATGCCATTGATATGTACAAAATTCCAACAAAAGATATGCACTTACTGTTCCCCTTGATATCTGGTACTCATTGTTGTTTAATCCTGTAATGGATGTTGAGCTGCAAAAAATCCACACGTCATGTCATTACAAGTGCATTTTTTCATCTTAGCAACTGTAAGGTAACATATTAATTCTGAGGTATATTTCTTATCGACAGGATGCTATGTGGTACGTTTCCCATTTACAGAGTTCTATGATGGCACACACAGATTTGAATCTCATGTACAGGACCTAACCTCTAAGAAAAATATATTCCCATAGAACTAGAGTTTACAATTAACAAACAGTTTTATATATTAAAATTTGCAATGGCTTCTCATCATCCACACAGGGAGGCGCAACTCAAAAGGCTGAAGTAGAGGTTACCATCTAGTTGTAAACTCAAATGAACCAACATGACATCTCTTAAAAAATTTGAACTTTAACTTGCATCTTTGGATTCAAAATCAGGTTGAGCTGAGATTCTTTGCTCGTGGAGTATACATTGGAAGCTACAAAGAGTTTCTTGCAGTAATGAAATTGCATTGTGGCGCAACCAGATTTGGTTGTTTTGGTTTAGACGTGCATTGTATGGGATAACTAAGATAAGGTTTGCAGAATAATTCAATTTTCAGAGGTTGATCTTCTTGACAACTCAACCCAATCCTATAAACAGCTGGGCCAGCTTTGCCCCAGCAATATTCAAACCTGTACATGAGATTTAACCTTCTGATCTCCAGAAACTTAAGAGAATTTAAAATTAGAATTAGAAGATCTAAAAGAATGGCAGAACTCTTCCTTTTCTTTTTTCTTCTCTATATTCCTGCTACGATCAAATCTTAACTAAATTTGTTTGGGTATTTCCAAGATTTCATTATCTGAAACGAGCAATAATGATAAACAAGCTGTATGTCCTGCCATAAAAATCAAAGAGATGAAAAGAGAGCAGGAAACTGGAAAGATGTTGCCAAGGACATTAATGATGAAGTAGAAATACACAAGAAGTGTTTGTCCTTGAAATGCATTGTTTAAATAACAATGATTAACATGGGTTACCTTTTTCTTTCATGTTGCCTAAGCTACTTGCTTCAGTGTTGCCAACAACCAACTAATTGATGTCAATAATCTAGTTACCAACTAATTGAACACAGTAGCTCAATTTTCAAGTCTTCATCTAGGAGCAGAGATGTGAAAGATTTTCCATCATCTTGTGATTGTAAAGTATCATGACAAAGAGAGACTATAATTTGATGGGGGCATATTTTCAATCTGGTGGAATTCCTGAAGCTTTTTGTTTGCTACCACTCATAATGTTTGCCATTATATGATTCTAGGCTATATAATTCATTTCACAAGGGAAAGGAAAAAGAGACCGATGTAATACAAGAAACCTTAATGGAGATATGTTTTGTATACCCAGTTTGTCAAATACCTAGTCAGACTAATAACATGTCCCTTGAAGTGGTCAGATGCCCTTTTCTGAACATCATCAAAACCCTCTAATGCAAACCAATGACCTTCTCATTACCATCCTACCAATTATGTCTAAACAAATATAGAAAATTATCATCTAACTATAATTAATTATGTGGGTGTTTCACAGGTGTTTGACAAAGTTGCTATGGGAAGCACTGCTCATTTTTAACCTATTTTAACACATAATAACAATATATAAATATGAAGGGAGAATGCAAATAAACCTCTATCTCGTGAGGATTAAGTAGAAAATGTCACAGTAAAACTGCAATTCCTGTGCCATAGCATGCATAAATTATATACCATGATATGATGTATTGGGCATGTGACGAGAAGTACCACCACCTAAACACCAGATAAAATAACTAGCAGCCAAAATCTTCCCAACTATTTGTGCTGAAGATATACTAAGGTTTAGAGAACAGGCTGGCCTCAGGAACCACCGCACTCACCAAAACAATAGAATAAAAATAAAATAACAGTAACATATTGAGATTCTTACAAACATTTATTTGAGTAGTTGTAATATTGAGGAAGTTGCAGAGGATTTGAAATATAAAGATTTTTGAAAGATTATTTTACCTAAATCTAGCAATCTCTCGTAGAGGCCCACCGATTCCACAACCTACATCCAACACCTACATTACAAGTAAAACCATATATATGAGTGTAAATATATCTCTACAGCAAATTATTCAATTGGATTCAATAATAAAATAAAATGACTAATACCTTCATCCCAGGTTTCAACCCCATTTGCAAGGCAAGGAAGTGTTCATGCCGCTTAATGCTTTCACGCAGCGACTCCCCTTTCCATCTTCAGAGATATAACTTAGAGTCAGTGGTGTTGTATACTAGGAAAGATGAAGAAAATTAGGAAGTATAATAAAATACATTGCTAGCGCTCACCTGGGAGCAAAGTGAAATGACTCTCCCCAGCCAAATTCATAGAAGCTGGTGGCAAGATCATAGTACTTATTTACCTGAAGTGCAAAAAGAAAAAACATTGCAAGCTATCACTGGTTTCCTAACATGAGAGAGTATTTATCATGAATGATGTAACAAATTTGATTTGTGGTGTATTGATCTATATATCTAATGACACTGGATGACTATGAAAAGCATGTGTTTTAGGACTTACAGTAGTTGTAAAATTGAAATGGAAAACCAACAAAGACTAAAACTATTGTTAGAAAGTCACAAAATACAGCTGACAAAGGATTGCAGGTATTGAACTTTACAAAATGAACCCACTACATTTATTGGTATGATTACGACAAGATGCTCTATCCTTCACAATTGCATCATTGATGCAAAAGTGAACATGCGGAGTGTTCCAGCAGCTTTTGTATAGTATTAACTAAAAATACAGAGAAGTGGAGAGAATAAAGAATGCCCACCCTTGCCACCAGTGGAAATATTTTTTTGTTAATGTCCATTACCCCATTTTTCTACAATGGACAGTCGTCTCCTTATTTATGAATTTCATCGAGACCCTGATTCTAACTAAACTAAAATTCTATTAGGCCATCCAGGGTGCAAAAGATAGTGGGCGGAGTATTAGAAGAATTTACAGTTTGGGTCAAATCATAGTATCTTGTTTAATGTCCGGTGATGTTTCAAAAACTTAGTTAAAACAAATTAATAGCAATTAGGCTTGAGCATTGAGAAAAAATTATGGTTCACAAGCCTTATATATGCATCTTTTCACATTCAATATACTACTGTGAAAATCATTTTTCCTACAATCCTAATCTTCAACTTATAATCTTATCTTTATATATTAAAGAATTACATTGTGATCATATCTGCACCATCATTGAAAGCTTTATTTGCTCCATAAAGTACCTGCTGTCAACCCGATGACAGCTAACCTACAGATTACAGAGCCTCCAATAACCATACAAAACTCTTACATACAAGTAAAAATATTTCACAATATACTTCTCTTCAACACTCCATGCTGTAGTCAGTAACATATTTCCAATAATTTCACTTCAAAGTGTCATATGCTGCTGCAATGGTTCACAGAGAATCATACTGAAATGCAGTTCAATGTCCAAATAGACTTCCCACATGAAATATGAGCATATAAGGTCTGCAAAGAATATGGATTTTGTGCTAAAAAGAAATAACATGCCTTATGTTCACACTTATTACACCTAAGATGCACAGTTAAATAGATTGGAGTCCATCAAAAAGTTAACTTTACCGATATATATAACATACCATATCACTGTAGTTTGCTTTCCTTGTCTCTTCATCCCCTCCATAACAGACATGATATTTTTCGTACCTAGTGCAGCAAGCATTCAAATACATCAACGGTTTTGCAAATTAAACCACATGGCAATCTGAAGATTAGACCATCACGACAAAGATTACTCGATCCTAAACTAATTGCAAAATATCATAAAGCAAATGTAAAGCTAACTTGAAAAATCATAAGCCTGCTACATTTTTCAGCAGAAGCGTAGTTGAAGTGATGACGCACTCTAGAAATTGGATCTAATATGCATGTTAATGTTAAGCAGCACATTAGATTTGGCAAGGAAACAAACAACAAAGAGTTAGATCAGAAATATAAAGTGTAACTTTCTTGCTAGTGAAACTACAACAAGAAGTGATGACCACGTAGTTCAGACACTATAGTTAAAGGATGCTCTCAATAATGCAAAGATGCCAAGATAATCCTCTACTCTGCAGCAATTTCTGCGTCCATCATAATTGGGAATGGAGGCAGCTGTTCCCATGGTGCCCCTCAAAACCAATAAATGCTGCTTTTATCAATAATAGCTGCAACTGGTGTTGCAGTGCTTTTCCTGGACCTCTGCGCTACCACTTGGATGGTCATCTATCACCTAGAAAGTCAATTGGACATTTGGCAGTGGACCGCTATTATTTCCCAAATTATTTGGGCCTTCTATCACGTTTGTGGATTCAGAGTATCAGTATTATTTGAGATATAGAAATATTTGGCATTTCAAATGTGTAACACATGAGACATGTTGATCAAAATTAGTCTCCTGAGTTGGTTGAACACTTTAGAATTATTAAACAAAGACAAAGTCAATAGATATCTATGCATCAGGAACATCCAAATAGCTTGTGAGGAAGCATTTAAAGTATGTAGCTAAGTGACAACTTTGAGCCTATATGCCAGCTCTTTGTTCCTGGCCGGCTGATATGGGTCAATCAAGTGCTCAACAGCTGTTAATTAATTGTTCTATATGGTGTTTATAGCACTAAATACCGTCCATTGGCTATATTCACTACATAAAAATATGATGAAAAAGAAACAGAGTTGGCAAACAATTCAAGTATATGACAAAGAATTTTTTTTATTTTCACCAGAAGTTTGAAAAAAAAAAAAAAAGTTTCCATGAGCTAATAAAAGAGAAGTACCCCCAACAAATTGCAGCTGATAACTTGTAGAAGATCATTTACCTACAGATGAGAAGATCTCAAAAAATTTGCAAGTTTTTCCTGTTGTTATTGTACTTCTTTCAAATTCTCATTTTTTTTGCTACATTTATTGATTTCAGGGTGTCATTTAGTAACACAAAATCCATTGAAGGACTTGATTTCACAGAATAAAAAAAAAAAATTGCAAAGCAACGGATTGTCGTGTTCTACGTCGAAAGTTAGAACGGGTAAGATTGAGCAGAGAAACATACTGATCGACAGCGGATTGCACGTCTTCCTTCTTGATCTTCCCTCCCACGCCCGAAGCAAGATCCAACGCCCCAGACTTCGACATCTCGCGGTCAAACTAACAGGCACAGTATCTGACGATACAAAAACACATTTGGTTAAGGGAAACAAAGATCTTCTCAAAGAACCCGCAAAGATTTCGAAATACATGGATCAAAAGAGGCAGAACAGAAATCACATGGCTTCGAGGGTACCGGACCAACGTCAGATCTAAAAGAAAAAGGAAATACTCAAAGCGTCTCCCTTCCCAGGAAAAGGAAGCATCGCGTGCCATTTGTCGGAAAAAGAGCGAACTATTCAAATACGAAAAAGAAAAAGGAAAAAGGATGCACACCAAGAAAAGAGAATGTTACTTAAATCGAAACAACACCACGCGTCAGATACCGTCAAGCGGGCAAACACCGCAACGCACAGACCACAACACTGCAAAACGTGGCAAGAAGAGAAGATACAATGACATGCTTCGGCACCCAAATGGTGTTCGCTTTTGATTTTTCTTGGTCATTTCAAGAGAAAAATAGCTAATCGAGATCGAGTGGACCGGCATTTCGGAGATTGCTGCAGTAGCAGAAGAGATCAAAGGCGACCGGCATTTCGGAAGAGGAGGACGAAGGGAGAAAGGGGCTTACGCTCGTAGAACTCGACTCCGTGGAGGACGAAGGGGGGCAGGAAGAGGGTTGATTTGTTCGAACGATGGTCCGTTTCATCGGTTTATATACACATAGACGTCGAAACCAGGTGGGGTCGGTTAAGACGAGTCGTTGGAGCCTTGGAGGGCCCCATTGCCAGACTGGACCGCGAGCCCACGTATCGCTCCCTCCTCGCTGGCCCCGTTTACCGTCTCAGCAATTGGAGCAGGCGAGTGGGCCTCCCCGACTCGTGTGACGATCGTTTGTATTCCTGCGTAGGTGTGGCGAAATTGCTCACATAATTTTTTTTATAAAAATAAAAATAAAAATAAAAATAAAAATAAAAATATTGGACGAAATTTCGAATCGAACCCTCGTGTAATTAATCTGATAGACGACTAACGTCCGTTGTCGTAATCTCGCCCATGCTCGCTCGAACGTGGAATGCGGTGGCACGTGATTGTCGCATTGTCGTTGCTCTTATCCGGAAACCTCGAATCATGGGCGACATTGCGACGTATCCAACCGCTCACAGAAGAAAGAGAGCCCCCAAAACAAAAATGATATATGTGTGCCATACTATTCCAGCTAATCTTTGTCGTACCTAATCTTCTATCCGTCACAGGACAAGCATGTGATCGACCATTGCAACAACTCCACAACTATGAAGGTTTAATACTACGTTTATTACTAATCCCATAACATGCTCTACGAGAAACATACACCTAAATAATCCAAACCATCAATCTCATGCCCACTGTTGAAGGATAATTCTGTACCGTAACGAAAACAACTTCACCGATGACGAGTTTGTGGCCATCGTCCGACCTGTGAGGCAAACTTGTCGGCAATCCCCACAGCTTTCGGACACGGACAGCCTACCGCCAAACAGAGATATCACTCTGTTTCTAGTGCTGATGGGATCTAGTGGACCAGATTTTAGACGATGTGATGGTCGTGTCTAGCAAAAGAGTAGATGAGATATCCAGTTTAAGAAGTGAAATAGGGTTGAGAAATCATACTGATCGCCGAACTCGGGAGCTATATAACTATGACTCTCTTAGATGGATATCAACTCCAAGGCACCTGCAAAGGACTGAAACCCACAGAAGTTGGGAGTTAACTGAGAACATGGAATTGGTAAAATACAACAAGACATCACTCTTCAATAGCTCTACACACCATGAAAGGATCCATGAACAGTTCTCTTTCATCTGTTCCTTTTCATTCTCTTTGTTATTTGCTCTATAACAAAAAAAATTATTCGCCACAACTGCCACAAACACATCATCATGTCAGTATTGCACAAATCGTCGGTGAAAAGATTATGTTTTCATAGATAAGCTAGAGGCATCAAGTATTCATCCAGGACAACAGGTTATCAAAAGTACAACTTATGCCTAGTAACTGCCATGTCCAAGCTGAATGGCGAAGAAAGAGGATTCCGACGAAGCAACTTACCGGAGAGAAGCATTAAGTAACAGGAACAACATAAGCTAACACACTATACCCCAAGGCCAATTAATGAGAAAGCATAAAGAAGATAGGCTCCGACAGCAGATGAACTTTTAGTCACTTCTATTCCCATCTTCTCCGCCTTCTTTGACATCAATGTTAAAATTATATTCCTGGTCACAGCCCAAATATGAATCGCACATGAAGTAAATGGTAAATGCCTTCTTCCCAACCTCTGCAGGAGCTGTAAAGACAAGCTTGACTTTTGCTTTCCTTTGCAATGCTACTCTTTTGATGGCAAGTAACTGATTATTGCCGGTATCACCAACCACAAGCCACCACCCTTCTTCTTTGGCCTTTGGATATCTGGGTGCATCCACTGGTCCAACCTCAGCACGCCCCTCGAGATCACGCTCCAGCGTAACCTGCAATGTCACATTTTCCCCGGGCCTAACATCATCATCGTCCAGCACCTCGTAGGTCATATCAATGTTAGGAAAGCGGTTGCAAAATCGAGCAATATCAAGCAACTGGGAATCTAACATTTGCAGCAGATCCCGCCTTTCATCATCTTCCATCTCCACAAGATCAAAAACAGTCTCAATACTCCTCCCTGGATTTTCTTGGCATCTCTTGGCTAACTCCTTTGTGAAATGTGGAATTTGCAAAAGCATAGAATCACGCTCCCACATGCCCTGTGTTACCATTTGACTCAGCTCCATTGTAGAAAGGGCAAGGCTAAGCCATCCGTTGCTTGAGATAACATCAACCATTGCTTGAAGCAGCCTATGAGCAGAAAGGAGAACCTCTCGCTGATCTGCCGCAAGGTTCCCAACCACTGTGTGTCTGGAGAAGTGAGCTTGTAACAGCACATTTGCCTTAACATGAGGGTCAGTGCATTTTGGATTCTCAAAGGAGAACCTCTGGTGATTAATCAACTTCCTGATCAATTCTTCCTCGCCAGGTCGGATGGGAAGCTGTGAATACTCTGAAGCTGATGCCAAAATATCCAGTAGACCTTTCATCTTAGTTTTGGATGTTAAAGAAGAACTGAATCGCTCGATAGTGGTGTAACTAATGTAATAATATGAAGCAATCAAGCCAAGGTTCAGAGGTTTCAGGTACATATCCTCCTCAATAGCCACACATTTGCTCGATTCCAAGTCACTCAAAACATTCTCCACTAGTTCAGAAAGGTGATCAGAAAGATGCCTGTGACTCACACCCTGCAGATTATAGTAGTTTGGATTCTTAGTAAGCCTCCGATACATGAAAGTCCACGTAAGATAATCCACAGCATCTTGCTTATTCTCTGTAACTCCAACAACAACTTCCGCATTCATATGATCATGCAAGAAATTATGCAAATGGCTCTCGACTGGGAAAGCCTCATAGAGGAACTTCTTATAATACTCCTTACGAGGAGCATGGCATAGTATGACGCATATACCAGAGTTATCTTTGAGAGGTCTACTGGCATGGCCCATCATCTGCAGCAGATCAGTGATTGGATAATCAGTGTGAGCATTCTCTCTGCCATCATAATATTGTGTTCCCATAACGACAACCAAGTGGGAAGGCAATGACCGACCCCAGCACATCAAACTGGTTGCAACACAAACTTGAATCCTTCCACCAAGAAACAATTGTATTACAACCTCTTGATCAAACTCATTGAGACCTTCATGCAAGTAGCCGACACCAAGAGCAAGTGTCCCTTTCAGGGTATCATCCTTGATCCCGGATATAAAAGTGTTCATTTCTTCCCCCGAACCAAGAAGAAAAGAAGGCCTCTCTCCACGGTCAGCATGTGAATAAGTACACAGATCCAGTGCAGTCAGCCGTGCATGCTTTCTTGTGGGTACAAAGACCAGGGCTGGTTTCCCATTCTTTGAATGCTGAACAATAGCAGTATATGTAGGTTTTGTCATTGCTTGCATTCTTGCCTCAAAATTTGATATATCCACACCTTGAATATGTATCTCCAAAGGCACTGGACGAACACCAGGTGGAAAATTGAACAAACCATGAGATGTAGCACCTATCCATTCACCAAGATCCTTAGCGTTTGCAAGAGATGCTGAAAGTGCTACGATACGGATGTTGCTACCAATGTGACTTGCAATACGTCTCATCCTAGAGACGATTATTTCCAAGATAGGACCCATTTCTCCACCTATTAAATGAAGCTCATCTACAATGAAGAGGCTGACCTGCTGGACTTGCTTACGTTGTTTCCACCTACGAGAGAGTGCATCCCATTTTTCTGGAGTACTGATTATGATCTGTCCTCTCTCAAGCAGCTTCAAGTCGGTAGCAGTTTCTCCAGTCAACTCCACAACACGAATTCCCAGACGTTTCCCAAACTTCTCTTCCCAATCACGGTACCTTTCTTTTGCGACAGCTTCAATCGGAGCAATGTACACAGCCCTCATGATGCTATCAGGACCTTTTTGATGATTCCGAAGCAATGCAAACTCAGCACATATAGTCTTCCCACTGCCCGTAGGGGCAGCAACCAAGACATTGTCATCTGTGTTGTACAAAACCGTGAACACTTGTGTCTGGATAGGATTAAAATGTTTGAATGCATCATAAAGAGCTTCATATGCAGGATTTCTTAAAGCAGTAACTGGCAGAGGTTGTAAATCCAGCAATTCAGTTGCAGGGGGGTACTTTTCTGGTAGAATCAGATGCCTAAAACAGACAGGTAAAACAGTTTGAGAACCAAGCCACTTGTCTGATACTACACGAATGAAATATTGAGGTGGCAGCGGCTCGTAAATGGGAACAGTGAAGTTCAGAGTGTGATCTTCATCAATGTACTGTTTCTTAAGCATGAAATACTCATGATGAAGAATATATTCACCATCATTGTCCTCGACAATAACCCAAAATGGTTCCACATATCCATGCACAGCATCATCCCACTGAAAATCAGGTGTTATAGTCAATTCAAAACCCAAGACAGTGCGGGTGATGGGTTGGACATGTGCTAAAAGGTTCAGTTTTGGCAACTGGTGTATGCATTTATGAAGCTGCCTACCCATCTTGGGGTAACGAATCAACTCTCCAATCTCCTGGGATGACAGGTCATAATATCTTTCCCAAGACAGATCCTTCTTTTCCAATTTCATCAAAATTTCATTTGGTATACCTGTGAACTGGCGCAGCGGAGTCTGAACGCTCCACATGCGCTTGTCAACCATCTTGCAAAGATTTAATGCCTTCTCAGCCAATTGAGCCCATCCCCTTTTTAAGACGATCTCGAACAGAGATCTTATAAGACGGCCTGCACTCTGTCAAAATAATAAAAGATGAAGCGATTTTAGAAAGAGTTCTAATACATGCTAAAAGCTCACAAAATAGAATACAACAAACAAAGGAAACAAATATGCACCTGCTTAATGAAAACCATATCAGATGTCAGGGAAAGCCCCTCAAGTTTCAGCTGTGATATGTATGCTTGCAGCAGAACATTGATTTTAGCACTAGGCTCCTCCAAGCTTTCTTTGACAGGAATAGGCACACGATCCAAAAGCTTTGCCAACTCCATCTTCTCATCCTGCCGCACAGTCACATATTTAAACTCTTCACTAAGGGAGAACAATCGGAAAAGCTCTATGTCACCCATAGTTGGCTTTAGGTACTCATTGTACGTAGATATTGTCCCATGAGTGATATAATAATAACTTGCAATTCTGCCCAGATCTGTAGCCTGAAAGTACCCGCTCTTCCTGTCGTACTTGACTAAATTGTTTTTATCTAAAATATTTGCAGCAGTATGAATCTGCAGTGGATAAAACAAACATAAAAAATGAGAACATGCAACAGAATACCAAAGAAAACTGTACTGAAAGCGATCTACAATGAAATCAAATGTTAGTCATGCAAAAACCAAATTTTACACCAGGAAAACATGCGAAGATCCGAATGCCTTCAAACAACAAACTAAATGGCAACATATCTTCACCACTTTGGAACCACAAGTGGAACGGACGGAGAAGATATAAAGGCTAAAGAACATTTGCCAGGCCTAGGAGTCAGAGTTGACTGATAATCCTTAACCATCAGAAGTGTGATGAGCAATAATAAGTTCATTCCTATTCTGATCAACAAAAATAAAAATTTAAAGGTATGGCCAAGCTTAGGTCAAAGCAAACATTCAAAAAAAGCAGAGAAAAGCGTGGTGAAAAACCAAAGTCATGTGGTTAGAACTTAGAACTTCCTTCTATTGGAAAGCAAATTGTAGATTGTACTGATTAACCAATATGCCACATGACCTCTATGCTCTATTAATCCAGCATTTTTCTATTTTACTAATCCAGCTTTACTACAATGAATAAAGTATGGAATTCTTTACAACATTCAAGTGTTTAACTAGTTATATAGCCAGAACATATAAAGACCAGTCTCATCATAGTTAATTGAAACAAACGAACATCAAGCTTCTAACAAAACACTCAGATATTCCTAAAATCTAGCACTGCATTTTGCATATGTCTACCCCAAATCACTTTGGTATCATGTAGAGATTGAAGGAAAAGAAAACAGCAACAGTAAGCAAGAAGTCAAAACAGAGGATGTATCATCATCATCTAAACAATGTGAAAATTTGACAAGGTAAGTACCATACGTCCTAAAATGCATTAATCATTTGCACTTACCAGATCAGCTCGCCTTTCCTCCAACAGTTTGTCCCTCTCCAGGATGTCTGCAGACAATCCATATAAAGTTGGGTTTCTAACCATGCGTACGTAAAGGTAAGTGTACCCAATCCAGTTACATGCCTCTCTGGCATTCTGAACTGTCCCCAAAACAATCTCTGCATTTAATTGGTCAGCCAATTTAGACACAAACTGACTCTCAATTGGCAGCTGCTGGTTCATAAGGGATAGATAGTACTGCAGCTCACTGTGACCTGTTAGAATTATGCCTTCTCCATAAGAGTCATACTGAGGCCTTCCTGCACGACCAAGCATCTGCATGACATCAAGAGGACTAAGTTCAGTCCAAGCTCCTTTCTCTGGATTGTATATCTGGGTGCCTTTTATAATGACCGTGTGTGCTGGCAGATTAACACCCCAAGCAAGGGTGGCTGTCGATACCAACACCTGTACATGTCCATCAGAAAAAAGCTCCTCAACAAGATCACGATCCACCCTTGCCATTCCTGCATGATGGATAGCAAACCCATATGGCAAGAGATCTTTAAGATCATTGCTTTTAACAAATTCAGTTTGACTTTGAAGAATTTCACGGCTTGCACTGTCATCCTTTAAAAACCGACTCAATGTGTCATTGGCAAGAGCAGTGTCTCGGATTGCACGAGCAGTTTTAGCTGTTTCTTTCCTTGAATGAACAAAGATAAGCACTTGATGCTTTCCAGCAGCAGCCATAACCTTTTCGTAACAAATTTCATTCATCAACTGAAATCGCTGCAATGGTTTTTTTATTGTGATACCAATATACTGTTGTGCAAGAGGGCAGGGTCTGTAACTATTGTCAAAATGGAGAATTCCACTCGGCTTGGTGACACGTAAGAACAATGCTACATCTTCATAATTCGGGAGAGTGGCTGATAGACCAACCAGTCTAATCAACTCCTTGGTCGCTTCAGTCTGCCTAAGTGTCCTAGCGACAATACTTTCAAGGACAGGTCCACGGTTATCATGAAGAAGATGAATCTCATCAATTATAAGGAGCTTCACGAGCTGTGTATAGGTCCTATCTCCAGACTTTCTTGTGACAATATCCCATTTCTCTGGAGTGGTGACAATGATCTGAGTCTCTTCAATCTGCTGGCGAGTGAGGTTTTGGTCTCCGCTGAGTTCCCTCACAACAATATTATAAGATTTCAGCCGATGGGACAGATTCCCAACCACTTCAGCAACCAGAGCTTTCATCGGAGCCACATAAACAATCTTGTACTTACTGTTGTCTAAAACTCCATCCCTCCTATGCAAGCCAATCTGATGTAAGATGGCCAGCATGGCAACATTGGTTTTCCCAGCACCAGTTGGCGCACACAACAGTATATTCTCAGGTGAGGTAAAAGCAGTTTTGTAGACCATACTTTGTACTCTGTTCAGCTGCTTCATCCCTTCAAAAGCTGGCTGTGCCCAATCAGGCAAGTCAGATATTTTCACAAGCTTCTCTTCTGGTGAGAATGTTTTTGGTTTTAGTGCTGGCACATGAACTTCCTCGTAGCCCTTGTGAGGAGTTCTATATGATCCTGGAGGAAGCTCACACTTCTTATTAGCCATCAAAAGGCCACCCTGATGAAATGCAATGCTATCAAGATCAAGCAGCTGACATTGCCCCTTCAACCACCCACTATCCGTGTCTCTATCAACAACCCTCCTATCCCTGTCATTATCCCCACCACCATGTTCATCCTTCAATCGCCTAGCCTCCTCTCTTATGCTCTTCTCTAAATTCTTCTGTCGCTCCTTTGCAGATGCTCTAGTGGCATGCAGCTGCTCCAAAATCGTGGTGAGAGTTGGACCCATATTTGACATCTCTTCTTCGATCTTCTTTCGCTGGTCTTGATCCTCTGCCCTGGCCAATCGAGTACACCAAACTATCTTGAGCCGGTTCCGCAGAAGCAATTTGATGAGCTCAAACTTGTCATAGTCCAACAGCATTACGAGCCTGTTCTCAACATCCCTATCATCCCCTTCGGCAAGTATTTTTAGCACCTCTTCTGCAAGTTTCTGGCTTTGTTGTGGATCAATCTCCTCATAAGCCTGAGATATCTTCCTTTGAAGCCAGTAAGCATCAATGTCTTGGACGTTAATGGTTTGACCCTCATTAGCTTCTTCCATGTCCTCATCATCAATTCCACCCATCTGCATAGCACCAGCAGCATTTGATTCCTGGCCATCGTCATCATCCTCCGATTCCTCTTGTACCTGCCCATATATTGAACAAGGATAATATGAATTGCAAAAAACACAATCTCCACTGACAAGTTAATAATAAAACCAGGTGGAGTCTTATGTACCTGATCGTAATCGCTCTCTTCCTCCTCCTCATCCTCCTCAAACTCGACTGCAACACCAATGTCGTCTAACGCCTCGCCATTACCATTTGCAGCAGCAGAATCTGCAGCAACACCGGCATCCTGATAGTCTGTGATCAGCCGTCCAATTGATACAAGCTGATCGAATACTTGATTGGAAATGGGATTCAAGAGCTTCTCAATCTCCTTCTTTTTGTCAGGGTTCTTTATTTTCTCATTCTTCAATACCACCAGGACTTCATCTGCTGCCCCACTAAGAATATCCTGTGGCTGCCCACCAAACTGTTGCTGGATCACACTTAGCAGCGCTTCATAAGCTGCACGAGTCTCCTTAGTCTTAGGTTGGTACACGGCATCATCCGTGAGGGAGAGCACACTCTCCTCCTGAATGCGGCGCCGCTTGCTGTCTTTCTTCTGTTCGGGTTCGAGTGCTGGCTCCCGCTCCTTCTTCTTTTTCGACTTCTTGATCTTTTCCTCGAGCTCGAGCGGCTTGCCACGGAAAGCCCGGTCGCCAAAACTCTTGGGATCAATCTTCCCCCACAGAGACTCAGGTTCTCCGGTAGGTTCATGGGTGTCACGGGGACGGGAGTCAGTGGTCAGAACAAGGCTGGAATTGGCACGGTACTCATACTGCTTGAACCGAGCATGGGCCTCAGCACCACCACCCAGGTGGGCCATGGCTAAAAGACCTCAAGAAGCTGCTTTTTTTGTGTCAAACACCAAGATCAGATGCAAAATTCAGACAAACAAACAACAGGAACAGGAAATGGGTTCGATGAAACGATGTCAATAACTTAAAGATAAGAAAACCTAAAAATACAGCAAAAGCTGTCAACTTAATTACCTCTTCTGCTATTTCCCCTAATAAATGCGACAGAGAAAACCAAAGAACCAAATCAAAGATTCCCAATAGTTACAAAACTAATAAGCTGGAAAATCTACTGCACGAGACGCTGAAGCAAACGGGAAAACATAAGCCGTGTTATTCCCCCCCCAAAAAACACCTTTTTTTTTTCCGAAACGAAATACCTAGGTTACTTCCAAACAAGAAAGCAACAACCGATGCTACAAGAAAACCTACAGATTAAGGTGCAGAAAATCACGGGGGAAAGGAAGTAACAGACGCTAGGGTTTAGGCAAAGCACACACGCGACGCTAGGGTTTTGAGAACTCGCCAAACAAACTGGAAGACGCGTAGCTCACCTTGCCGAACGCAGAGTGAAGAAATCGATGGCAGTCGCCAGAGAAGAAAACCGAGGGGAGGACGCCGATTCGAAACGGGTGGGGACGCAGCAGCGCCGACGGGACGTAGACGAGGGAGAAAGGAGGAGAGGGGAGGCCGATAGGTTTTAGTCTCGGTTCCCGTCCATTTGCTATTGGTGACTGATAAGGAGGAGGAGCACCGCCTCCAAAGATGCCTCGGTCGGTCGGGCTCGGTCCGGACTCAAGTCGGTTTATGGATCCGAATCGGCGTATCGACTCTAAACGGAGCTCCGGATCCTTATCGGATCGGGTACGAATCACCTTCATCTTTATTGAGCGTATGTTATTATCGAAGCATACTATTGCAAACTCCATCATTGCACATTGAAATTAAAGATATACTTCATTTATACAGATCGATCCGAGTAACAAACTTCAAATAACAAATCTAAGGTTTCTTCCTTAGCTGCGAACGAAACCACGTCGAGTGCCAAACAATGTGGTTCTCATGTAATTGGCATCTCTCACATCATGCTCCCGACCTATATGTCTGTGTTCGTGCCTCCCATCACCCCGAACTCCATGCTCAGCGTCTTGGTCTGAGAAGTGGAGAAATGTTGTCGATGACCTGCAACGGCGAGCGTCTACTCGAGTTGTGCTGCGACTTCAGATGGCACACCAGAACGTGCTTCTCCTTCTCGTTGTACGAGTCATGCGATCTCACCGCCCTTCGTGGATCTGCAGGCAGTTGTAGGTCCGACTGCAGAGGGGATGACGACGAGGGGGCATTGAGGAGCTTGGTCCGCCGTGGCTGCAGCTCTTTCGATAGTTTCTGCAGCTCGATCACCTTCCGCTCGGAGGATCTCGCCCTTTGCTTCCACTCGAGCTTCTGCAATCCATAGACCACATACCAGGCTTACCTTCGACACGAGTTCGCGTGGAAGGATCATCGAGATAGAACTTACTTGCGTATGCTGGGAGTGGAAGTTGATCTCGGAGGCGATGGCTCGTCGGTGCCAGTGGTCTCTGGAGGACCGGAGCTCCTCCATTTCCACCCTTACTTGCTCCAGCATCTGTTGCATCTCGCTCCACTGCTCCGTCTCGGCCCTCACCTGCTGCACTATTCGCCCGACGACCTCCTTGCAACTGCAGCAGCTCAGCAGCCCCATCTTTTCCTCCACCTGCAAGCAGTCAAACGAGATATCTGCAACTCAAACCAGTTGGACGCAAACAAGTCCGCAGAACTCCTACCAGAAGTTCTCGTATTGAATCGTGCATGTTGTGCTTCCACAGGAGAAGGTTGGCGCAGACTCAGAAAGCCATTAACGCCACCTTAAAGCCGAAACCACAGAACGTACCAAACAAGGGTTGGGGCGACATCATTTAATCAGTTACGAATGGAGAATAGAAAGATGCTCAAAACGAACACTTCTGCTACAGGAGATCAGGATATCAAAAGGTGTGCCGAGTTAAATCGAGAACACTGCACCGGCGAGGGGGACCAACCGAGCTTGATGCTCTCACTCACAGGTACTCGGAGGCCATCAATGCATGAAAGATCAACCAATTCTTACACACTCTGGCTTTTTGATCTGTAGTATCATAAATCTTCTTATCTACTCTGTGGTCGCCAACAAAGAGTGGTTTGGATGAGCTGCTTAAACCATACATTGGCTATCTGTGTTGTTATTAATAAGGGGGATATGGCGTGAAGCTTTCTCCGAGGTTTGCATAAAATATGTATTCTCTAACTTGACGGCTCAGCAAAGTTTAGTGCTTCCTTCATTATTAATCATCCACTTGAGACGTGTTTTGGTCTTGAGTTTGATCTCGGTGGGACCGCAAGATCTATCTTAGTTGGCTACTTGCTTACTGTTTGACCCGCTGTACATAAGTCAACGACACCTGACAAGCCCAACCACTCCATATCCAACAGTAGGGGAATCGAACTCGTTTGAAAGCAGGAGTGTTTGGTGCACGTACGACGTGGCATTTCTGTGGTGCCCCACATGCGAGTGCCACGTAATTGCGTGTCAGTGCAATGTTGTGTGAAGATGTCAGCAGTGCCATTTTTGAAAGGAGACGAGATGGTTTTGAATCACACTCACCAGCTTCTCCTGCTGCTGCTGCTGCTGGATTTGGAGGATGGGGCTGTGTGCCATGTCTGCTGCTTCAGTGATCCCAGTTGTTTGTTGGCTGCTGCAATTCAACTCGCTTTTGGTGGTGGTGGTGGTGGTGATGGTACTGCTTTTGGCAGAGAGCAAGTAGCTGCACTCCTCCATCCTCTCCAACATCCCTTTGGACATGCCCTCCATCTTCTTCCTCAGCTTCTCCATCTTTACTCGTTCCCGGTACGAAAACAACCAAACAAGCAACGCATCAGAGATTGCTCGAACGCGATAAATAATATCTCTGACTCATCTAGGTGAAGATTGCTACGTCGTCGGTAAACAGCCGACTCTGATTCGAATAAGCCGCGACGTCGTGATCCTCTGGTTGATGCCGCTCTGCTTCTGGACCTTTGTTTGCGAAGGCTTGCACAGAAATCTCTTGTATGTCCTTCACGCTGGTGTCCTCCTCCATCTTCTTCAGTTGCCGCCGGAGCATGAACGCTCGCCGGTCGAAGTCTCCTCCCCAACTACCTCGCAGCAGCTTTCTCGAGCTTCCCGTGCTCCTCTTCCGCCTGTTGCTATTCCCCAACTTGAGCTCCTCCAGCTTCTCTTCCAGTTCCTCGATCTCCTCGTCCAATGCTGTCCCTACGCTTCCGCACCCATCGATCTTCTTCCTCCCCTGATCAGTCATCACCCATCTCGAACACTAAGATCAAGAAGGACGGAACCAAGGCGACGGAATCGAAGGAAGGCAATCAGAACATACCGAGACTAGGGTTTCCATGGCGGATTTCAATGCGATCTCCATCTCGGTGCGGTTCCTCTCGAGCTTCCGAAGCGCCACCTCCCGCTCCATTCTCAAGAAGTTACACTCCGCTCGAAGTATCTCCGCCTGGAACCGCCACCTTTCCTCGCCACCCGAGTCCCCCCTGCTCTCGCCCGCGGACGTCGCCTCGGCCTCCACCATCATCACCTGCGGGGGCGGCGGCGGCGGCGGCGGCGGCGGCGGCCTTGCACTCCGCTCCCTGTCCGGGAGATCCCCGACGTTCCGGTCCAATCCCGGATTTCGCGGTGCTGCCGCACGAGACCTCCTGGGGAGCCGCGGCAGGTTGAGTATCGTCGGCGCCGGCGGCGGCTGCCACCTCCCGTTCCTCGCCGCCATTCCTCCGCCTCCAAATCTGCGCGTGTCTGCGCTCGGTGTTGTTCCTATAAATAACCAAGTAACCGAAGTGGTCTTCGGGAAAGTGGAGTCGCAGAGGGCGACCGGCCGCAGAAGACGCCACCGGGGGAGAGAAGAGAATCGCATGCCTCGTGTTCCGCGAAAAGCCGGAGGAGATCGATTTGAAATGGACTCTCTCTCTCTCCCCCATTAAATGACACAAAAGCCCCTCCTCGATGACCCAACGATAGTAACAGCATGGCATCTCAGAGGACAAATAAGTCAAATCACAAATGTCGCTAAGATTCCATGCAGGGGTCGAGGAAGAACCGCGGCGCAGCTAGAGCCGACGAACCGGCTCGGCGCACGTGACGCGCGCTCGGAAATCGAGGGCGTTCCCGTAACGCTCGCATAGAGACGACCCATCTGTTCTTTAAGATTCGCGCTCGATCGATTAGATAATCCAGGCTTTTCACTCGATTATGTTCTTAATCCTCCTTGTAATTACGAGCATTAACATATGGTTATCTCGAACCCAATGCGAACGCTAACTGGTCCAACCAATTAAATTAAGCCACCACGGGGTCACATTGCACACGAACAGTACAATTGCTCCGGCCATTATGGCCCGTGTGGGAGGCGATTTGGCTCCACCAACGAGGCTAATACGAGCCCCAAAGAGCATCTACCATGGCCACTGTGCCTTCATTAGCTGCCATGGTAACATCTTCTTAGGGTAATTAGCAACAAAACAGGGAGGTAATCCCATCACAATTAGCATCAACTCTCCTCCGAGGCCTAATGGCAACCAACTCCAACCCCAAAGAGCATCTACCATATATATTATATATGTATGTATGTATGTATGTATATATATGTACAATTAAGGAGAGACGAGACAACAATTGCTTAGTTCACAAGATAGTGTTGGTTCCATTTGTACAACTGTGCTTGGTGAATGAACATAAAAAAGCAATTGTGCACACAGTTTGATATCATCATCTTCGATGATCAAATATAAATAAAATAATAATTGATTTAATATATTTTTTTTGTTATTTGATCACTATAGAAATATTTTCCACTTGTATAGGATGCTAATCTGACAAGAAGAAAAAGGAAATAATTACCCTACAAGAACATGAGTTCAAAGGGTGTCACATGAGCTTGTCATGCAAGATTTTGAGTACATGCACAAGAAGACAAGTTGAACCAACAAAGGGCAATAAGATAGATGAAGGCAACATACCTACCATTTATTCCCCCTCTATCATCCGCTGTGCAGAGCAAGAGAAGAAAGCCAATAGTTGATCTGTGCTATGTGAGTCCAAAATGGTGGATAGAACAAGGTGTTGCTCCAGATAGAAATGGCAGCAAGATTTGGAGTCTTGTAGATTGTCTTCATTTGCGGCCTCCTGCCTGCTTGGTCACTGCACACACTGATCATGCCCGCAGATGGTAACAAGGGCAGCACAGTGTTGGAGTTAGCTGAATCCAACGCACAGTCCACAGCTTTCAAACACATCAGCAGCTTTTCTTGTGGGTGTTTCGGGCAAGGATGCAGGAGAAGGCAGTTCTGAGATGATGGAGACATGACTGGTTCAACTTACTTTGAGGTGGTGGAGGCAGGTGGAGTCTCTGCAAGGAAAGCAAGTGCTTGGCTTTGGTTCGCTGCAATGGTGGTGGAGGCAGGTGAAGTAAGTCACCGCAAGGAGAGCAAGTCCTTGGCTTTGGTTCGCAGCAATCAAGATCTTCTTTTGTGATAAGTTATCATTATTATTGATAAGTTAACTTGTTAAGTTAAAAATTGATTATCTTGTCGGAGCCAAATGTTAGACAACAGATATGTCGTGGCTGGTGAGTCAGCATGACTAGGTCCAAGGGCCGATGTCGGGAGCTTTCTGTAGGGTGATTCGAATGATGAAGTACCCAAGCTCTCGGGAAGGAATGATGGTTGGCATTGGTCGGGATCGGGATTGATTGGCGACTCCTTGGTGCCGGTCATATCGTGCTTCCGTGCCGAGTCCCTCACCGTGATCGCCCTCTTGCAAAAATGGTCTCCGTCGGATGGTACCCGACCGTGGCCCCTCTAACGAGCAAGTTAGTAACGAGAGAAATCGCTTTTTTCCTTATTTTTTTCTTACCTCCTCCTGGCCGAAGGCTGGCGAGGGGTTTTATACTATGGCGAGAGGGCTGAGGGTGCATCGATTTGACATCGTCGTTGGCCCCCGAGGGATGGAACGACCCTTCTGACTAGCCACCGCGCTGGGGCATGCAGTGCGGCATCAGACGGCATCGCCCCGAGCTCCTAAGACGGGATGTATGACATATCTTCTTGGTACGAGCTCCCCGGACAGGACATGTGGCATAGGGCTCTGACTTGGCATCTGTGTCGATTGTGATGCGTTCAGACTGTCAAAATATATCGTATCACAAATCAAGATTTTTTTTTTTTACTGTCATAGTTTAATCTCAAGCAAAGGCTTGTTTGTGAAACTCTAAAAGATTACGTTAAAATATTCTCAATAAATATTATTCTATTAGTCCCGTATAATATTAAGATGTTGACCATACAACACTAAGGTGTTAGTTTGTATAATACCGAGATATTGATCACACTTATTCATAATAAATAAGTCAACATGAATCAAGATTATGCATGACAGATATTTTAATTAATAAATAAATAAATTGAGATTCATTGTGACCAAAACAGGAAATTGACATTAGTAATGGACCAAATAAAAATATTTCTCATAAAAGTTAGCCAAAATTGCTGCAATTATATTTGTGAAGGACTTCAAAATAAATAGTAAAAAAATGAAAATTATAATTCTAGACCAGAAATATTAAGAAGCTTCCACGTGGCGATTAAGTGCTGCTGCTGCTGCTCTCGCGTTATCCACCAATACCAGCCATTCCCGCGCCGATAAAAGGAATCCCAGGTGGCGGCACCTCATTGGATGGACTATTCCCTTAGATAAGATAGTACCGATTGCCACCTCCGTTGCGAACCCCAAATCCTGTCGCCTGCATGCACTTCTTATTAGTCGCGTTCCTCTGCCGGCGAGTTCTGTGGTGAGGAAGAAGACCGCAGGAAAGCGGACGTCAGTGTGTGGGAAAGAGCTATGGGATCACTTGCCATGATGATGGCTTCCTCCCTCGTCGGCGTCGGCGCCGCCGACCGGCCCTCGACCAGCTGCCACCGCAGGAGCCTTGTTGTGGCCAAGGCGGCCACCCAAGCTCAAGCTGCCGGCACGCCCGACCATGAGAAAGTCGGCGGCCGCAGAGCCGTGGTGTTCGCGGCTGCTGCGGTCGCCCTGTGCGCCGTTGACCGGGGGATGGCCTCCGCCGACGAGGAGCCCAAGCGAGGGACGGCGGAGGCGAAGCGGAAGTACGCCCCGATATGCGTGACGATGCCGACGGCAAAGATCTGCCACAAGTGAGCTCTGTACCAATTGGGTTAAGCCTGTGCTATGTGATGCACTAAAACTCGGTCTACATTGCTACATCTGTAATTGCTACTGCCTGGGAAAAGCCTTTGAAATGTTATGCTCAACCAAATTAATGGATCAATACAATCCATGCAATATAGCTTGAGAACATCAACTAAGCAGAAGATTCATGTTCTCATATTTTATACACACAGAAAACACCAATACATCCACTATTATTTCGTCTTCCACTGTCGACAAGAGACCAAGAACCATAACAAATGATACAGAGTAACTGTTACACCACATCAAACCTGCACAGATAAGTCCAGTCTTTCTTTTCCCAACAAAGAAAAAGTACCAAAGAAAACAGATGTTAAAGCCAAGAATGAATTGCCTGCAAGCATCAGACTTATCAATGACAACCTTCCTGAGCGGTGCCGATGCCGCCAGCTTGCGCTCCTGCTAATTTTCCAGATCAATCAGGCAAGCCAAAGTTAACTTGTTGTCCGGACCATACTCACGAGAACATAAGAGTATAAATCACAGGGCAATGCTGCAAGCATCGGTCATCACTCAAAACAGGATTGTCACTGTATAGCGACGGCCCTACTAGACGGCCGATTCACCAGGATGCCACCGCTCCGTGGTCCTGAGCAGTCATCATCTTCTGCTTTGTCACCCGACTTTAGATGAAGGAATGATATCTCAGATTCAGACTGATCTTGGTAGCCGTCTTTCCTACTAAACGATGTTTGAGATTTAGACATTCGTTCCTGCATGGTGCTGGCAGGATTTGTATCACCCGAGCAATCAGAGGGTATTGCTTCCGAACTAGAGGAGATAGTTGATTGCGTTGAAAGAAATGCACCAGAATTTAGACCCTTCTTTGTGTCAGTTTTAGCAGCGTCTTCGTCTGTCTTCTTGGTATTAAGAAAACGACCTCCACAACCCCTAGCCCTCCTCATCGCATGTAGGTGACGGGATTCATGGAGATATGGCTGCAGATAAGAAGACAGCAACTTACCCCATCAGTAAAAGGTTATTGGGAGTTATATGGCACAAATTATGCAAAACTAGATTATTTGTAAACTAGAACTTCCACTGGCACTGGATGCATACAGCGAAAACAATTCCTCAAAGTACCAGAAACATGGACAAGGCATTCATCTGTACCATAGATCATAATTTTGAACCACAGAATGCTTTTAAAATCTGAGAGGATGACAAATATGCAGTTGCTAAATATACAATTGATTTTTCTAAAAACATCAAAGGTATTAATTGCTAATATCTGGTAACTTTGCAGAGATTGGACTTCTCATAATTAACTTTTCTGGTGGATGCCATGTTCACTTGTATAAGAAGATTAAAGAAAAGAAAAAAAAAAGTGATAATATGGTTGAGATATAGGTAGTGGTCGGGCCAGCCAAGAGGTTTCAGAAATGTTCAATGAACACTACCATCGGCCATACAGGGCCGAAAAGAGAAGATCACAGAACTGGTTCCGTCTGATATATATATATTTTTTTTCAAACAGAACTGCTGGAAAGTTGAAACCAACAATAACTGTTTTAAAAAATGGATAGTTCGACATAAACAACTCTAATATCTATTTATTGTTTTTCTGTACTGTTAACACATTACTTCAATGTTTTAGAAGACCCAAAACTCCTTCAGACAATCATTAACAACCAGA